TCTTCCAACACAACTGTACCCAAACCTTCCATATAAAATTGGAAGGATTCCAATCTTAGCCCCTCCACCGCCTTCTCTCTTTCCTGGTAGTTGGTCCAAGTAATAATTGACAAGGGCAGGAGGGGCACAAACAAAAAATCCATTTGCATATTAAATAGAGCCTGTGCCGTTTCAAAACCTCTCCCTGCATGAGCCTCAGCTATGACTTAATAAAAAATAAAAAAAAGAAGGGGCTTCCTAATTTCTATTCCCCTTTTTCTCTGGGAACACTTGACCTTGAGGATCCAGAAATTCCCTCACCACCACCTGGGATTCTGAGTTTCTTACCATCCCATTCTTGCCCTAAAGTGTTGGTTACTCTGGTCATTTATGATGTGTTGCTCTCAGTTGGTTACAGCAAATTCTGACGTTCTGGTTGTTTGTAGGTTTTCGTTATCACAAAAATCCAGGTTCTTATCAGGGAAGAACTGGTTGGGCAGAATTTGGAAGTCTGTTTTATACACACACACACCCCACATACACACCTACATGTGTGTGTGTGTCTATATATTTTCAAGTTCTAGAACCTCACGTATGGTTTTCCTACGTCTCCTGATAGCCAGGACACCTGGGTAATTGTTCTTCTCTTATTTAAAGTGAAGACTGGTAAGAGCAGGTTTACGCCAGAAAGCCAAATGGCAGAGCTAGTGGACTTCAGATGAGCCAGTGAGCAGGTCGTGACAACTCACATGATCTCGGCAGTAAGGTCCCGTCTATCTGTGGACAGACGTGTTACTGTTTCAGAAGAAAATGGGCAGAGTGAGTGGGCAGAAGCAAGTGCCAGGGACAGGGGGCCCCTCCAAAGCCAACCTCTGACGAGGATTTTCCTCAGGGGGTAAGCTGACAGTGGTTCCCTTAGTCTCTCTTTCACTGGGAATTCATCCTTTTTAATCTTGGTAATTTTAATATTTTAGCCTAAGAATTTGATTCTTAGAATACCCTTTGCAATGGGGTGTTCTTTCCCCCAGAAGGGAGGTAGCCCATGCTCCTTTTTCTTTTTTTAGCTTTTTCCATCCCATGAAAACATTTCTTTAAGAAAAGCCAGGACAGAGGAAGGTGAACTTTCCATTTCCAAGCTGGATTTCATCCAGTATTTAGACACTGGTTCTCCACCGGGACCCCTCTGCCTCCTGCCCCCTCCCCTCCGCATGCTTCGGGCAACACCCTGGATGACATCCCTTCCAGCTTGGTGGCTCCTAGTGGCACTTTGCAACTTGTCTGGCCAACTCAGCGGTTTCTGCTGTTAGCCTCAGACATCTAAGCAGAGAAGGTCAGGTGTCGGGCAGCCGCTCACTGCCCTCGCACGGTCAGTGATAAAAATCCAGTGACTCCTGCTGACAGTAACAGCAAAAACTATAGAATGTTGAAAAATAAACCAAACAAGAAACACAGAAGACCTACACATGCAGAGAACTTTGAACATTTACTGAGATACTAAGTCTTAACAGAGGGAGGAACTCTGTTTCTGAAGAATGTGGGCAGCAGAAGCTCCTCTCTCTGGCAGGTGTAAAGAACTCATCGCCATGAAGGTTTCTCCAAGTACCTGCTTCTATTACTCCCTCCAGTACCATGAGTCCCTGCAGTTCTTACCACCACCATCTATTACAGTGTCACATTCACATATGGACTTGGAGGTCTCCGGCTTTTCCTAAGTGTGTGCCTTTTCCTCCCAATTAAATCATAAGATTTAGGCCGGATGCTGTGGTTCACGGCTGTAATCCCAGCACTCTGGGAGACCGAGGCAGGTGGATCACTTGAGCTCATGAGTTTGAGACCAGCCTGAGCAAGATCGAGACCCCCATCTCTACTAAAAATAGAAAAACTGAGGCAAGAGTATCACTTGAGTCCAAGAACTTGAGGTTGCTGTGAGCTATAATGCCCGGCACTCTATTCAGGGTGCCAGAGTGAGACTCTGTCTCTACAAAAAAAAAAAAAAAAAAAAA